TAAATAAACCAAGATTTTCACAAATTATAAATAACTCCTAGTTTAGAAATCCAATTTACAACAAATCTCAAATTAAATTTTACCTCAGTTAAATTATTCCTCATTCAAGTTTTTTTATTCCAACACGTGAATCGAACACAATAAAACTTTTGTGCCTAATTTCCTCTTCCTTCTTTCCTTTCTTTTCTTCCCCATTTCTTTTCTCCTTTCTCTTTTATTTTCCTTTTTTGGTTGCTACAATAATGCTTTTACAGTAATTTTGCTCTACTACCTTCGCCACAGTGCCACTAGTAGCCTCCTCGCCCACAGTTGCTGCTTCTGCCCTCTTCTGTTTGAGTAAGGAGAAGAAGGGCGTAAGGGGTTATATGTATTTAATTATACAATTTAGTTAAATATTCTACCGACTAGATCGCCTCAATCACCCCAAAAAAATCTATTTCTACAGTACATTAATAGATGTACAATAAAATTAAATTAAAACTTAAGAGAAATGCAATTATGCATAGAAATCAATTTACGTTGATCATTTCTATATGTTCTAATGTATCATAATGATTGAAATGAAGCATAGAATGAAATAAAAATGATTTCACTAAAGTTTGGAATGAACAAAAAATGGGTATAATTTTTTTGGGAATATTTAAGCTTATGAGAATTTTAGGTATTATAACTATCCTGCTCCATGGCTGAACTTGGTCGATCTCCATAGATGATGAATCAGATTGAACTACACCTTCGATATTCCCTCTAGCGGTAAGGGATGGATTCAAACTATCATTGTGCATCGACGTAGCTGGATTTGAACTTCCTTAATGCTTCGATGTAGCAGCAATGTAGTGGTTAAGGTCTCGTCCAAAAACCTTCTTTGAAGAGGATCGAGTGATGTGAAACTACTAGGAGTTACGGTTAGAAATAAAAAGAGAATTGTTTTAAGTTTTGCTCTTATAAATTTATTTTGATCTTGCAAGAGAGAATTAAGAATTAGAAAAATTTAACTTGCTTAGGCCAAAGATTAGCAATAGAGAAATTAACCAAGGCTGTTCATTCAAATTTCAAGGAGATTTAAATGCAAAGTACAATCAACAAAATCCAATACTTAGCAATGAGAATTTCACCTCAAGGCCTTCTCGCTCAACTATTTGTAGGCTTTAGCGGAGAAAGATGAGCCAAATAATGAGAGATATTACCACTACGAAGATGGCGCCGATGAACTTTGTTGGTGGAGAGGTAGCCTACTGAGAAGGACGCAGTGGGTGGCCGACGAGGCTCCAATCGTAGCTTGAGAAACGTCGGTTGATGATGCTTGCAAGAATAGGGACGACTCGCTCCAAATATTCTTCAACAGTAGTTTCGTCTTCAAATCCCACGTCAAAGCACGGAGATCTTAGGATGTTGATGCTTCCGTCGGCGTTGAATACAAGACCCCACTCAAGCTCCGGATCCGCCATGCGTCATTCAAACGGAGATGGAAGACGTTGCCTTTGTTCCCTCTTGGACTCTTGATTCAAGAGACGGAAGAGAGAGGGTGGGGGACGGCGGGATTCCAAGGGAGAAGGGTGGCTGGCGGGTGTAGGGAGGAACAAGGCTTGAAAACAATTTAGGTTTAGATGACTTGTATTAGGGAATTAATCAAAATCTGAAGTAATTTCAGTTTTGATTAAGTTGGAGGGAAAATTGACTTGAATTTGAAATTTCAAATCAAGCAATTAAGACATTAAGTGGGGGTCAATGAGGGGAAACCAATGAAAGGGGCTGGCGGTCTATAGAGGGAGGGAAGAGGTTTAAAAACTTAAAACTGAAAGTTGATTTCAGTTTTAAGTAATTTAGGAGGGAAAATTATTTGGAGTCAATTTCTAATTCAAGTGGAATCAATGCCTTAATGGGGCATTAATGGGGCTCCACCAAAGATGTGGTCGGCGGCTTCTAGAGGGGGGAAATTGGCGTGGGAGCAAGTAAATGGTTTCCAAATTTGGTTCATGAGGTTTAAGAAGGATTAAAACAAAATCCGTTTGAATTTGAATTTCGTCATGAAAACGGATTTAAAACTTTTCTAATTTGAAATTCCAAAATTGGAAAGATTTTGAAATTCAAATTTTGAATTTTCAAAATTTGAATTCGAGGGGAATGGGAGATGAGGTCGTTGGTTGAAAGGTTCACGGACGGATGGGGTGTTGGGGTGGCCGGCGGCCAAGAGGAAGCTAAGGCCGGCAGGTTGGGGGAGAAGGAAGGGGGATCGAATGTTGGGGATAGACCACGAGCCACAGACTCTTCCAATGACTGGTGGGTATTGCTTTGCGCCCTTCATTGGGCTCTCGTTCTCCTCTCTAACTCTCCACAAGAAGAAGAAGAAGACAAGATATTCAAAACAAATTTTCACTCATAATATTCATTAACCTCAAAACAATACATGAGACCACTATATATAGGTCTCAACTCATACAAAGAGAAAATACCAAATTGCCCTCTGGGCTACAATGATAAAATAACTCCCCACAGGGGTAAAAATGAAAAGACAGTAAATAAAACAAGATAATAATAAAAATACATCATGACATCTAAATCAAAAATAGAGGCGCTGAATCGTGGCCGTCGATCTGCGGTTTCGCCGGCGATAAACATGTTGGTAGCGTCTGTCGATGTCCTCATCATCGAGTCTCTCTATTTCATTTTTCCTGAACGACCTCGCTGTCCTTCCCGTGAGTGTGCTATTGCCATCACCACCTGAAAAATCCTCAACGCTAGTCTTGTTTGAGTGTGGAGGTGAACTCTGGTCACCTCCTCTCATGGGTTTCTCTCCCTACAAGCACTCTTCAAGAGAAAAAGAAAAGGAGTGAAATGAGAGCTTCTTTTATCAATATACACATGCAAACACTCTTATATGCATCATTTTATTTGCATACTTCTTAGCATGCATTACCTTTTTATGAGAAAATATTATGTAATATGATAAAAACATTTATAGCATAGAGTGGGAACAGGTACTTTATTTATTTCAGTATGATAAATTGTTTTGCATTGAAATAGATAAATTAATGTAAACTATTTGTAGTTATGGCTTGATAACAATAAATCATCTCATATAAATAAATGAACAAGTAAGTATTTATATGGTCTGATAGTAATAAATTATCTCATATAAATAAATGAACAAATAAACTCACATTTGCCTTGCACAATTTGATCTTCCAAGTAATCATTAAATGTCAGCTGCCTTAGCTTAATACCTATTTTAATATTTGTAATTACAAATAAGATATTTATAATGGCTAACTTTAATTCTTCTTTAGTCATGTAAACCTTTTTCATTCCTTGCTTAACTTGTTTCAACATGCATAATCTATCACTATTATTAGTGATATAGGTTATTAACATGTCAATTTTCTTCAAGCAAATTATTCTTTTATTTGATCACCTCAATTTATGGCATACTTGTCAACTGTTAATGGTTCACCATAATACAAAGTTCCCCATGGCACCATAACGCATAACAAATGGCACGACGCACGCCATTTTACATATGATGCATGTATTAAATAATTGTAAACACAAATAGATATTAATATGAAGTGCTATTAAATGGAAAATTAAATCATCATTATAATAAAATCATTAAACTTGAAGTTTAAGTTTAAGTAATCAACATCCCAACCATTTAAAATTGAAAACATTGTAATAATTTTTTCTAAGTCTATTTGTTCTGTCAGAAATTAAACTTGTCTTTCTGAAAGTTATCATCATCATCAAATGCTAAATATGACTCATTTCCTTCATGTGCATCTTCTCCTAATTCATAATCCTCCTTATTTTCCACAAAAAATACATGTCATGTAATTATTATCATATTTATTTGCAATATTACATAATTTTATACATTTTTTTTTATTTGAACTATATATGACATTCATTCGAATGCCTGTGAGGAAGTAGATATGTGAACTTTTTAGCTTCGTTTTAAATATGTGAGTGACATTGTGAATAATAAATAAATATATGTTGCATCAATTATTTTGATAAACATAAAAGATATTTCATAAATAAATTCTGCCATCTTTTTTAGAAATTAAGGTACATTTATATGTAATGATGGTACTATTAAGTTAATAAAAAATGATAAAATTAATAAATATAAATATAAATATTAATCTTAAATTTAAAATAAAAAAATAGTGACCACCATGTTTTGCGCCATGCACTATTGCCTCTATATGGCTCAAATAGCATGTGTCATTCTGAACATGTGCTTTACGCCAAGCAAATGGCACCAAGGATGCTCCGTTCCATGTTGATTTTGCATCATTGACATACATGATTTATGATCGGATTACATTTATGATGTCTTTAAATAAACTTTACTATAGAACATCAAACTATAATATAACATGACCATAAGACCTTGACCATGTCTCTGCGGGATAAGTGTCAAACAAAGTTTTCTTTTATTTTCTCGTCAATAATTCAGCAAATTTCATGTAGGAATCACGTTTGAAATATTGGTAGATGCTTCCCTCATTGATGAAAAGTTGCAATGACATTTCATCAATGAGGGAAGCATTTACCAATAGTGGGAAAAAAGTTGTCTGCTAGTAGTTTTTTTTTTTTAAATGTAGTTGAGTTGGAAAAGGTTGTGCTTGAAACATCTTGTTATGTTTTGTCTTTCCCATGATTATACATTAGTCATGGGAGAGTAGAATATATTGCTTTCTGTGTAGGACTAATTTGCAAACTCATTCAATAATGAAGCTAAGTGTTTTCTTACTTTCAAATGGAACTATTTATGTCTTCATTTTTTTTTCTTTACCTTCATGAAAAAAATAATTGTACTAAAAGCATATGAAAATAATAAATATTCCGCACATATTAGATCATTTTAAGTACCTTTTTTTAAAGTTTAGTATTGTTGTAGTTCTGGCTATAGTGAGACTTTCTTTTCTGTCAAAAATTTAATAGATTCTTTTATTGCTATATATCCTCTCCAAATTTTGATATATGACTTTTTTTAGGCCTGGGGATGGATGGAATGGAAAGAAGGAAACATAAATATTGCTAGAGAGCTCTATCAAAGGGCTCTATCAATTGACTTAGAGAGTGCAAGTGCTGCCCGTTGCCTTCAGGTACTTATATTGTTGAGTTTGGTTTGTGATTATGCTTGCTGCTAAAAATTTGACAAATAAGAGCATTATGATGTCATGATAGTTGTTGTGGGATGATACTTGTTTCATACTACAAATGTTAAGAGTAGATTGAATGGATGTTGTCAAATGTTGTTGCATTTCCTTCCTGAATGCCATGCACCGACAAAACTCTTCTAACTTGCTAACATTTGCTACCTGTAAAAGGATTATGATACTCGTTTTAACTAATTAAAGCTACAAATGGCTAGGTCTTCTTATATTAAGAGAGCTTTTTTTCGAATTCCTTTTTAATTTTTAGCATTATACCAAAGGTCTTCTCATATTAAGAGTCTTGACTATAATTTAGCAAAGATGACTGCATCACATTCGTCCCGTGATGATTATTGTGCCATATTGGCTTTGAAAGCTATGAAGATGTGATTAATTAAAGCATCCTTTAGGTGTTTGTAGCTTTCTTGGAGGATGGTTAATTTCATGACAATACGGTAAGCTTTGTTTATATTGAGGAGTGTTGAAAGTGTTAAATATGGTCTGACGTAAAGAGTACTGATGCACCATCATGTCCTCTTTTGGTTCCATGCATTTATGAATTGATGATGATCAACATTGTTTTGATCATACTAGCAATTGTGTGAAGAACCCACTCTACAATGGCTTGTTGATTGTTGGTAGGAATGGGTGACCTTTTGTGGAAGTGTAACAGCCCAAAATATTTTCTTTTGAATATGCCAAAGAGAGAAATTAAAAAAACTTTGAAGAAACAAAACTCGAATCACGCATGTAAATATGATATAGAAACATATGGAAATAATAAACACAATCACACGTATAAGAAAACTAGCATTACATTGTTTGGTCAAGAATAACATTCTTAAAGCAATGAGGCACAAATAATGAACCTTCAATATATGAAGGATCACAAAATGAGAGAAATATTAAGAAAAATCAAATCAATTGAGAACTCACCATATAAGGAATAATCTTTATCAAGAGAAAGCCAAAGAAGAAGAAGAATTCTTGTCACCACGCCTCTAAGATAGAAACAAGGAGTAGTGAACTTTACCTTTGTTCCATGCTGCGAGGAAATCTTTATTCCTCTCTCTCAATCATTCGCCTTCTTTATAAGTTATCGAAAATCAAGAGGCCTCACTTTTGATTTTGAAATTCTTCCAAGAAGAAATCCATAAACCCCCAATCCTTTCAATCCTTGCTTCTAGCCTGATCCCAATATTATAAAATTCCATCCTGTTTAGGGATCCTGAGAAGAATTAGGGCTAGAAGGAAATATTTAGAGAATTTCTTAGATTTGATATAATCCTAAAAATTTCTTCTCTTTCTCTGCCTTTCACTTTAAAAATATATATATATATATATATAACTCTTCACATCTCCAAGGTTAAATTGGATAGCCAAGTATGCTCTAAGCTTAACTCATCAAAACCTCCTCACATAAACCTCTTAAGGGCATTAGTAGTTGCAAAATCTAATCAAGCCTAGATATTACCTAAACTTGAGGACTGGATTAACTTGGTAAGCATTTCAATAGGATTTTTCTATGTGCAGATCTTGTGAACAAAAGCCTCATCATCTTTAGCATTATTTCTTATGAATTGTACACCCTAATAAAAAAAAAAACTCTATTTTGTTTTCTTGGTGCAAACTCATTTTCAACTAAGCAGCTCGAAGAAATAGCTTTTTTGTTAGATTTAAAAACTGTAATACTCTATGCCTTTATAGTAGATAACTGTAGGTTTAAGACAAACCTTTCAACTAATGGCATATCAAGAGAGTTTGACTATGTTAAACGTGATGCATGGAAACAAGAACTGCTTGGAGATTTTAATATAAGATTTTAAAGCTTTGCTAGTTATAGAATTAATGCTTACCCAAGTTAAGTTTTCAGAATTATCAAGTTGAAATTAAGTAAGGCATGCGGTTATAACTAGATTAACGGGACAATATCAAATAATATCAAATTGACAACATAAAATTAGAGAGTAATGCTATGGGGAGAAACAATAATCCACAATTAACAAATAGAACTTTTTTACTTTGGGTCTCTTACTCACTCTCTTGTTGGTGGCACTTTTAATGGAGGAAGATTGAGAGCAACCGAGCGATGCCACTAGGAGACAAATGGCGCATAAAAGCGTAGTCCGTTGGAGCTGTAGCCGGTGGCGGGTAGTCCATGGGATGACTAGTGAGCATCCAACGTCTTATCGAAACTTCCTTGATGGCTATGGTGGGGGCTAAGAGGCAAATGCAGGGAATCTGAAATAAAATTCAGATTATAGTGATTTAGGAGAGGGATTTAATTTGAATTTCAAATTAATCCAAGGAGGGAGAGGGGCGGCAATGGGGAGAAGATTTGGGCTGAATTTTGAATTAATTAGGAAAGTCATTAAAGGATGAAATTCAAACTAGCAAAGGGAAACCAAATGGGGGCCGGCGGTATGGATCCAGGGTGGCCGGCGGAAGAAGGGCTGGTGGTGGCCGGCGGGTGGCCGGATGGAGGATTGGCCGGCGGGAGGGGTCCTGCAGGTCGGCGGGATGGGGTGCTGGGTTGGTCGGCGGGAGGCTGGCCGGCGGTTTGGCTAGGGGAAAGGGGCGGCGGCAAGGATCCAAGGAGAGGAAGAAGTATGGAAAATATAAGGATCCAAGGAGTGAATTCCAATTTTCCACAAGTGCTTCAATCCGAATCTCCACGATGATGATTTGACCAAGAGAAATAAAGGAAAATAGTAGAACGAGAAAAACCTAGAACTCACAAAGAGATCTAGCTTCTCCTACGAACTCACTAAGAGATCGTGGAGGTTTGCACTCACAAAGAGAACACAAAGCAAATATTTTCATTCATCAAAACTAATCATACATAGGAAAATGGCCATATATATAGGCCTCCAAATGACAAAGAAAACAAAAGACTAAAATGCCCCTTGGGCTACAATAACGACTAAATACCCATAAGGGCAAAAACGGAAATACATAAAAGTCAAATAAACTACTACATAAATGACTCAAAATAAAACTCATGATCGTGGCCGTCGATCTCCGGCGTCTCCTGATGGTACATGTGTCGAAATCTCTGACGATGTCCTCATCAACCCCTCTACTATGGTTGTGGTCCATTGTCTTGATTACCTTCCACCATCTACTTCCTGAAAAGTAGATGGCTCTTGATTAACAATTGATTCCACAACATTCATAGAATTAATAATCACATGAGAATGATTGAAATCTTTATAAACACATCTTTAATATGCTCCAATATGCTTTTTTGGCATATGAGAAGAATTACTTTGTTTTGTTGTGGTGATGTCACATCTTTCCAAGGTCAGGACACAATAGGTTGTTGTGGTGAGCTATTAAACTGTACATGATCAACCTTAAATCTATTTTCTTTCCACTTTTTTGATCTCCTCCAAAATCACCAATCTGTATAAAATTCTGTCAAAGCACGTCTATCTCATTGAACTTGACATTCCTATTGATATATAATCCTCATGCTTGCTATCAACATACCAATGCTGTATCTATTAATCTTATTTGCATATCCATGGAATATGCACTTTTGAGCTCTAACGTAGAACTTACTCTTTGACATAACCATAGGCAAGAGAACTAATGAACCTTATAACTAAATATTTTTTAGGATTACATGAACACACATCCTCATGAGTTCTTAGCTCAATAGTAGCAGATAAATATTTGCTCGTTAAGTAGTATATCATATTAAAAATCTATGCCTAAAAGTACTTGTTCAAACTACATTAGATAATGTATTGCTGACCCACTCTATGAGGGCCTTATTCATTATTTTTGTCATCAATTCTAATGAGATGCACCCACTACAATCTTATGTGACAAAATGCTTTCAAACTCAATAGAATAGAATTTTAAGCTGTTGTCAATCCTTAATCTCTTATTTTTATTGCCTAGGTTTTTCTTTGCTTGTGCCTTCAACTTCTTGAATGCCATTAGAACATCACTCTTCTTCTTGCACATGGGAATTCATATCTTTCTTGAGAAATCACATGTGATGGTAAGCATGTATAGATAAGCAAACCCAAGCTAAATTTGGTCGATGCAAGGTCTATGTTATGACCCGACCAAGAGGCTCAATATGTCAAGGAAAGAACAGGTAGTTGGATGGAGTTTTTTTCTTAAAATTTTATTTACTTATATTAACTAATAACCAATTGCTTTCAATATGTCAAAAAACCCACCAAAATCACAATATTTTTTTAAAAAAATAAGCATAGTGATTTCAAAGTAAATATCTCTCTTTTATGGAGGCACAAATATGACATGGGTTCTCTTCTTACACTCATTTAGTTATTGATATCTTATCTCAAAAAAAATTAATTAGAACAATGATCAACTATCATAACTTAGTGGAGATATATCATGTCCTTAAATTGTAATAGCATGAAGGATATTAGAAAATAATGTGCATGCTTTTCATATTAAATAAATTGGTATGAATTATTTGGTAATGCCTTTTATTTGAAGATGACAATGCAAAAGTTTTAAAACAGTTCTTATACATAATCATATCATATCATATGTGTGTCTTTTTCATATAGTACAACTGTCACAGATGCACCATCTAAATTCTACTATTTAAGGTAGCTTTTATTTTCATTTTCTTTTCTAAATTTATCTTTTTAAGCATGTAGGTATGCATCCCTAATAAGTATATTTACAAGGTGAACTCCAATCTACATGTACATGCAAGCACTTATATATAGTTCATTTTATTTACATTTTCCATATCATTAAATAATTTTCTATAATACCCATTGTACGGTATAATTAATTAAAATATGATATGATAACTATCACCGATTACAACATGACAATGTTTGCTACGTTATAGATTAATCATGATTGAATTTGAAATAACAATTAATTGAATAAATATCAATATCTTTTAATGCATTTGATTCAGAATAAGCATTATTATTAATATAAATTAAGAACATATGTAGCTAAACCTTTGATGACTTGCTTTCTTAATCCTTAAATCTACCTCCCTGAGTTGAATATCTGTGATAATACATGCAAGGATATTCGTATTAAATATCTTATTTAAACTATGCATTATTTCTTCTAAAACTGATATCATCAATTAATATATTTTTTTATTTTATTACAAAATGTAAATTATACTTAATTTAATTATTTTATTTTTTTTAAGTGCATAACTCATAATCAATTTTTATAAATCATTAATTTAGTGCTTAGCTTATCCTTACAATGAGTTTATTAGCCATTTTTATTTCAAATATTCATCACAAGTAAATTTAACAATTAATTATTACTTTAATAATTCCTATGTTCATTATGTTCTCTACATTCCTGCGAATTAACTATCCAATATCCTATCATAAAATTTTCATCATCATTAAATTAAAATAAATTAAATATTTCTATTTTAAATGCATACTTCAAATAGTCCTTTTTTTTCCTTTTTTTCAAAATGAATGATACCTTCTCTTGTTTTACTCTCTTTACCCACACACATATACAATTAAACTTATTTGTCTTTTATATTTGAATAAACTTGAGTTTTAATAAAATTTTAATTCTTCTACAAATCTGCTATATAACTTTTTTTTTTTAATTCCATTATTTTTTTCAAGTGTAAAACTAAAATATAGGGTTTATTATATGTGATGTGAAACCAAGTGCATGGAACAAGAACTGCTTGGGGATTTTAATATAAGATTGTTAAAGCTTTGCTAGTTATAGAATTAATGCTTACCCAGATTAAGTTTTCGGAATTATCAAGTCGAAATTAAGTAAGGCATGTAGTTACAACTAGATTAACGGGACAATATCAAATTGACATCATAGAATTAGATAGTAATGTTATGGAGAGAAACAATAATCCACAATTAACAAATAGAACTTGTCACCTTGGGTCTCTCACTCACTCTCTTTTTGGTGGCACTTTTAATGGAGGAAGATTGAGAGCAACCGAGCGATGCCACTAGGAGACAAATGGCACACAAAGTGTAGTCTGTTGGAGTGGTAGCCGGTGGCGGGTAGCCCATGGGATGACTAGTGAACATCTAACGTCTTATCCTTTCTTCCTTGATCATCAAAGATGAAGCCGTGGTCGATGTCGGGATCGGCCGTCCATGGATGTGGAGAACTCTCTTCTTGAGCCCTTGAGCCGACCACTTGTTGAAGCAAAAGAGGAGAAGAGGGGGGGAGTCGGCTATGGTGGGGCTAAGAGGCAAATGCAAGAAATCTGAAATAAAATTCAGATTTTTGGGGGTGCATAGGAGAGGGATTTAATTTGAATTTCAAATCAATCGAAGGAGGGAGAGAGGGGCGGCAATGGGGAGAAGATTTGGGCTGAATTTGTGGAGCTATTAAGGCGATTAGGAGAGAGAGAGGAGGCCATTAAGGGGTCGGCCACATGAGGAGGAAAGAGGGGGTGAGTTTTGAATAAGTGGGGACCACCAATTTAATTTCAGATTTTTACAAAGATCTGAAATAAATTTTCAGTTTTCTTAAGGAGAAAAAATTTCCATTTAGGAGGGCAATCAATTTAAACAATTTGAATTTCAAATTCGAAATTGAAAATCAATTAAATTGATGGCGTAAATTGAGGAGCTAAATTAGGAAACAATCAATGGCTCATGAAGATATAGAATTTCAAAATTTGAAACTCCATGGAAGGGGCGGCCGGCGGCTAGAGGAAGGGCAAGGGGCTGGTGGGCTGGCCGGCGGCTACTGTCCGACGGGTTGGGCTGGCCGGCGGGTTGGGGCTGCAAGCCGGCGGCCTGGGCGGTCCAGAGATTTCTAGGGAGGGGAGATTGTAAGGAGAATTTTAGGGATCCAAAGATTGAAATTCCAACTTCCCACAAGAGGCTCCAATTTAAATTTTCACAACGACGATGAGACCAAGAGAAATGAAACAGAATAGTAGAACAAGAAAGAACCTAGAACTCACAAAGAGATCTAGCTTCTCCTACGAACTCACTAAGAGATCGAGGAGGTTTGCACTCACAAAGAGAACAAGAAATGTAAATTTTCATTCATTCAAAACTACTATTACATAAGAAAAGGGCCATATATATAGACCTCAAAATGACAAAGAAAACAAAAGAATAAAATGCACCTTGGGCTACAATAGCAACCAAATACCCATAAGGGAAAGAGCGGAAAAAAACTGAAAATAAAATAAACTACTACATGAAATGACTCAAAATAAAACTCATGATCGCAACCGTCGATCTCCGGCGTCTCCTGATGGTATATGTGTCGAAATCGCTGACGATGTCCTTGTCAATATGTAAACTAGAATAAAAGTCTAAATGAAAATTGATTAATAATAAAAACCTTAATGTTGGTCTATCCCTTTTTTCTTCTTTTAAGAACGCACTTGTTCTGCCTCTCGCGCCTACGCTCTTCCTCTCTAGGTTGTCTGCTTATTTTATTCTCCTTTTTTACGGCTTCTTCATTCAATCTCTCACTCTTGCTTTTTTCGTTCACTCAAGCCTGCTTTTCTGCTCTTCTCCCGATTTCTCTTCATTGCTCTCCCATCCTCCCTCTCGCTTTCCCTCTTTCGTTTAGCTCCCTTTGTCCCTATGTGCTATTTATAAGAGCCGAACCGTGGAGTGTCATTCGCTAAAAACCCCTGTCACCAGTCTATTTATTTATTTAAATAAATGGGGTATTATGATCTTCCTCTCTTACAAAAATTTTGCTCTAAATTGATAAATTTTTGGTCTTTACACTCAAAATGGTAAAAGTTACTCAACTCAAGTTAAACCAAATGAAAGCATGCAAGGATAGGCCACTAAGTAATATAGGCTCAGCCTAGCCAACCCATAGGGACTTGACCTGAGGATCCGAGCAAAATTTTGCCCATCCAAGCATTGCATGAATTACTATCTACGGTTGATGCTTCGAATCAAAAGTTGTTTGATTAGTTAATGATTTTGTACTGTCTGTTGATATTTACTAGTTAAAAACTTGCTTTAAAGATGCCTTCTACGGGGATACCATTATCTATTTTGCTTCATTAGTGTATTCTGATGTTTCTGTTAGTTTGACACATCAAGTGTTAAAATTGTAGAGTTGAAGAGCGTGACAATTTCGTAACGTATCATTGATGTTTTTCTGTAAATACCGTGCTATCATTTGAGGCAAACACCGAGCAAAAGAGTTTTTCTTCTACTTCAGCAGTTTGGCCTTTTATCTCATTCAGCTTATGTGAAGAATGCTGTTTTTTTAATTTTGTTTACTTTACTATTAGCATAATTTAAAATTAAGTCTTATATGAGCGCAAGTTTTTTTTGTTTTGGTCACCACGTGGAGAAATTCTTTGGCTATTCAAGGTTCAAAGCGGATGTCTACCTTGAGAAACATTATTTGAAATATTCTAATCTTCTCTCTTGAAAACTTTCAGGCTTGGGGTGTTTTAGAACAGAGGGCTGGAAATTTATCCGCAGCAAGAAGGTTGTTTAGATCTTCACTAAACATAAATTCTCAGAGTTATGTGACATGGATGACTTGGGCTGCATTGGAGGAGGAGCATGGAAATGCTGTACGGGCCGAAGAAATAAGAAATTTATATTTTCAGCAGGTTAGTTCTGCAAAGTATGCTTTTATTGAAAAATTTCAAAAAACTTCTGGGAAATTATTAGCTAAGTCTATGACATTGAATTTGATTCTAACATGTTGTCAGTGTTATTTGGATGCCTTTCACTACTCTTATATGATTGGAGTCTTGCCTTTCACTACTCTTCTATGATTGGAGTCTTTAGTATTGTTGCATTTGCATATTTGCATTCCTAGTTTTGTAACTTCATATTTGTTTGTTTATTTTCCCTTAATTTTTCTTTTAAATTCATCAACATTTAAATTGTATGGGGTAGAATTCTTGAAGAGGCGAAGAGTTAAAAGAGGACAACTCATATTATTCTAATACATTTTCATGAGTTGTACTTAATATTTAGAAAAAAAATTCTATTTTTTCTCCTCAAGGAGGACTTGATGCTCCTTTCATTAAAATGGTATTTTGAATATCTCTCTTGGACCGTCCATCACTTTGCTTTTCATGTTATTTTGGACTTCATACACAAGCAGCATCTAGAAGTAGCTGGTTAGTCAATGCATAAACAAATTTGAATATACTCAGCTAAGTTTTTCTTGTTGATGTTTAAAACTATTTTAAGCTTTATTTGTCTGTGCCACATTCTTGTGAATATTCTTCGTGTTCCAATTGCTAGATTGTTAGGATAATGTATATACCAACCGTCCCGTCTAGGGCCAGTTTGGGTTTATAGGAGGCGGGCTAGTCCCGCCTCCCCAATGCTTGTCGCCCACAATAGTGGGTCCCACTATTCCAATTGAGTTCAAATTAGAAAAGGAGTGGTCGGCTAGGGCTTTGGAGGGGAAATTGATTTAGAAAGTTTATGTATTAAATAGCATGAGGTGTTTTAGGGTGAGGGTTATGCTTGATTTGTTTCTCTGGTAGTTCTTTGGCGTCTTGGGCTCTAGACTCATTGTCTAAAGATTGGGAGAGAACGATCCTCCTCTCGAATTGAGGATCACTTGTATCTTATTTTGTATTTGTTTGACTTTGATTCTCTTATTGCAATCTATCGTTTTGGGGCTGATTTCACTTAGATTTTGCATGATTCTCGCTGTTTTCATCAATTAGTGGTAAGTTTGCTTGCGAACTCAAGCATTTCCCTTAGGGTTGCTTGAGAACTCAAGTATTTTCTATCAGTTCTACAGATCTACTTGCATAGAAATGTAAGCTAATGGATGATGAAATTTAGAAAGGAGCACCTCTCCTGAGGGAGACCCTGCAATCAGAAATTATTCGAAGGGACATCATTGAATCGCCCATTTAATGGGTGATTTGAGCAAACACCCGTTCATCGTGTGAATTTAATGTAATAATAGTTTTGTTTATCAAAGTTGTGGGGAATTTTATTTTATTGTTGAAGGAGGTGAATAATTTGATTTTATTTACATTGTTGGTTAATAAGAGATCATAAATGTCTAAATTTGGGTGTTTAGAAGCAAGAGATGTTATCAGAAGAATCTTACTTTGATTAAAAGTTGTAGTAGGGGAGCAAGTAAAGGTGTATATCTTCAACACTAAAGCTAAGAGAGCAGATGTTGGAAAAATCACAATTAAATTATGATAAAATGTTGCTAAACCATGAAAGCTATGAATATCAAAGGGAGCAGATGGTAGAAAAAACATGTTTAAATGATGATAAAATGTTGCTAAACCATGAAAGCTATGAATATCATAAAGAGTCTTAAGCTAATCCGTGATGGATTTAATATTTCCAAGATCTATGGCCAGGCTGTTTGTAGAAACATGAAACCTTAATAAGTAACTTCATGTTATAAAAAATGAACATTTCTTCATGTTTATATAAAAAAAAATTGATGCGAAATATGTTAAAAATTATTTCCTATCATCTTAGTAGGCAATCTTATAAGCTTTATATATTAAAATATCTTCAAAATGTGTCAAAATTTGTTGATAGCTTTGATTCATAACATGCATAGAAGTGCTTGATGTATTAATTAGATCAAAAGGCATGATTAGACATTCTTATAGACCTTTAATGCTGCTACACTAGTTCATCCTAGAATATGTAGCATTCTAGCTCTGCGGTTTATTGAAGTCTCTCATTAATTAGAAAGCCCAAAAAAGAAAATTATAATAGACAACTTTAGAGGCCATGAACTTTGCTGTAGCATAGCAAGCCCTCCTCAGGAATGTTAGCCTTCCAATAAAATGGATATAAATTCTAAACAAAATGGACAACACATCCTGAAGTTACAGGCCCCAGGCCAAATTGGTGCATCTTGTTTCTTAAGCCTATAAGCTAATGTAGTTTATCATAAATAGTAATAATAATAATCAATTATTCGACTAATACTATCGGCTGCTTGACGGCTGATGTAACAAATCTCGCCCATTTAATAGGTGATTTGCCCTCTTCCTTGAGTCTAGTTTACATGGCTCGTTTCCAACGTTTAATCAAATTTCGCTCGGAAGGACTGCTTGATTTTCTGTACTCCCTTCAACTTTCTGTTTTCTTTATTTTTTATCTTTAAGATGTGTTTTGTTTTACTTTAAATTTATGATGCACCTACACTTCTCTCCAAAGAAGCGTGCAGTGTCCGACACGTATCTGACACGACATACGTACGACAAGTGTTGGACACGTCAAAATGTGTTCGATTAAAAATATATTAAATATAAATTGGACACTCGTGCCCGACACGCGTGTCTTAAATATTTTATGAATTTTTTTAAAAATAATTTCTTGTATTTAAGTTTTTTTAATTTAAAATATTATAATTAAATTTATTATATTCTATCCACACTCAATACCCCATTCATGAAATTTTCTCATTTTCATTTCTCTTTGGTGGGTCGCGACTTTTGGTTTTACAACAATGACCTATGTCATCTTAACATCGACGTTTGACATCGTTACAACATAAACATTTCAAAATCACCTCAACATCAAAGTCAGACATTGTCTTGACATTGATGCACGACGCCAACAATTACTACACCCACAATTTAACAGCTCATCTTTGTCCAATATCTTCTTAATATTGACGACCAACGCCCTCTCAACATCGACGACAGGCATCCTCTTGACATTGACTCTCGATACTTACTTCATAACATCGATGTTTGACTCTTGATAGTATTGTCATCTCCTCTCTCGATGCCTGATACATAGCATCGATGCCCAACTCTCGACATCCTAATATTAATCATTTTAAACACAAACTCTAATTAAATAACTTGTTATTTATATATTTGAATATTTTACTTATTTCAATTTTTATGCACTTTTTAAAATATAAAAATTATAATATCGTATTCAACCCTTGTCCGTATCCTGTATTTTCAATAAATTATGTGTCCCATGTCCGTGTCTTGTCTATCCGTGTCGCCGTGTTCGTATCTGTGCATCATATCTTTAAATATGATTTTGTCCAAAGTTGTTAGTCGTATTAAATCTAGATGATTAAATTGAAAAGTTCAATGTTAAGCATTAATTTAATGGTACTTTTAATGGACGATTAGCGAGTCCACTGAATTTATATGTTATTAGACATATCAGGTTGTTTAATAGATGCTTAGTAGTTTTCTAATTTATAGGCAAGCTGGAGTTGCCTAGTCCTTTTATGTTTTTTTTTTTTTTGGTATTTTTTTGTGTTTTGTTTATATCATATTGTTACCATTGAAACAAAGCAAACAAAAATCACAAAAAACATATAATAATTAGGCAAATTATAGTTTGTGTAAAACTTTAGGCAATTGAGAGAAAAAAGTTTTAGATAATGCGAAGATACTTTAGGTAGAAATAGAACAGCCATCAAGGTTAATTTTCGTTCATTTTATAGGCCCTAATTTTTCCCACAAGAGGGGTATTTATAGACTAGAAAAGAACTAATAACTTATTACACTTTCTAATCTATATAATAACCTATGAATTAACAACCATCCATACAATATAATATATCTAATAACCTATAAATAAACTATACTTTAATTCTTCAATAAAACTACCCATTACATTAATGCCTAACATCAGTTAATAAATTTCAGCGCACGGAGGTCGTGGATGATGCTTCATGGGTCACAGGCTTTTTTGACATCTTCGACCCTGCACTTGATAGCATAAAGCGGCTCTTGAATTTCGAACAGACCAGCCCTGGGTTTTTCAGAAGTCAGAAAATCTTAGCAAAATTTCAGCAATCAGAAAGCAGCACGACTATTAAAAATATCCAAGATGCCAACAGTTTCAACTTGGACGCTTTCATCAAGGAAAAGCTTTCCTTGGATGTGTCAAAACTGGACGAACAAATGGAAAAATATGAACCAAGGAGTTCTGCTAACAGAAGGAATATATGGACCAGATCAAGCGGCAAACTTCACTCCACCAACCTGCAATAGGGCAAATTATTAGGTCCGGTCACCGGATCTAAATTTACGTCCGAATCCCTGCACTTTTATTATACTTTTGATGTATTTTTGCAAAAGTGCAGTTAATATATAATTTTAATTGCATATTAGCTGCCTTTTGCTGTCCTTTTACTGAGTATTTGAAAAGCGCATCACAAGGGCACCAAATACTCAATGAGTGATATATTTGTTGCGCTTTTACTTTATTTTTGCAAATACTCAACAAAAAGCAGCTAATATGCAATTAAAATTATGTATTAGCTGCTCTTTTGCAAAAATACTTCAAAAGTGCAATAAAAGCGCACGGAATCCGGACGCAAATTTAGGTCAAGTGACCTGACATAATAATTTGCCCTGCAATAGGCACGTAAATTTGGTATGTGAAATTGTGTATTATAATACACTTTTATGTAATTTATTATCTCATTTATAACGGGAGTAGTTTATCTTGTTGTTAAGCCCATGTAATACTTTCTGGGTTGAGATTTGAACTTTCTCCAATAAAATATGATGAAAAAATTGGTGCTTCAATTTTGTTTTGGCCTGGAATGGTCAATCTAAACATTTACCATCAATGTTCTGTTAAGCACTACTGTATTTGAACTCTTTAATTAAAATTAAAGATAATGCAATCAAGAATCGAAATTTTGTTAGTTATTATGTATTTCTAAAAACATTTACATATGGCAATTTCTATTCGATTGCCGTTCTTTATTGTTTTGCTAATATTTGAATTTGATAAAATAAATTGCATGCGAAAGCCTTTATCTAAGTTTTGGCTGAGACTCACGGTGACTATTGAATGCTGGAAAAAAGCTCTAGGAGATTCTCTTGAGCTTAAAGAAGCAGCAAGAATAAAATGAGTGCTTAGCCTCAATCTGTTTGTATTAACCCTCGCTAATTAAGCTTAAACCATGGTTAATGTCACCAAACAAGTCACAGTCAATCAAATCATGGCTTGAATTATTTGAACTAGTCGTACAGTACGATGTCAAGTCGTACAAACGACTGACAAAGTATGAAATTCCTTTCGTACCATATCTTACCAGACAAACTTGTTCATTTTTGAATAGTTCGTATTACGATATTAATTTGTACAGACGATTGATAGAGTACGAAATTCCTTTCGTACCATATCGTATAAGTTGAACTTATTCATTTTTGAATAGTTCGAACAATATGATATTAATTAGTACAAATGACTTAAAGAGTACGGAATAAGGTTTGTATCAGATCGTACCAAACCAAAAGCCTAATTTTTTAAAATGTTTGTATCATACGATATACGATCGTACTGTACAATTGTTGGATGGATCTCTTGCAACTTTTAGTTTTTGGATGGTTTTTCATAGTTTTTCTATAAATTAAGTCCTTAAAACTGACTAAGAGAATCTGTTGTAAACTTCTTTTGAGAGTGACCATTGAGAATGTGTTTGGGAGAACTTTTGTGAGTGAAGAGTGAGAGATATAGTGAAGGGAAATTTTGAGAGATTCACAAGCTGGTTGTCTAAGGTAAGGATCTTTTTTGTCTTCTTCTTCAAGTTTATGCCTGACTTCTTTGGAGGCTCTTAGGATAAGATCTTCAACATTGGATCAATGTACTTTACTTTACCAGGAGGGTGAAAAAGGACGTGACGGTTCTATGCCTTCAACAAGAGGGTGAAAATGGATATGATGGTTCTCTGCCTTCATTAGGAGGGTGAAAAAGGATGTGATGGCACGATTCCTTCACTTGGAGAGTGTAAAAGGTGTCGGTTCTCTGCTGCATCGGGTTGGTGGAAGAGAGATCGTAAGGGCTTATGCACCTTGTTGTGGGGGCAAAAGGAGAGTCACTATTGTTTAGTGCAATAACTTGAGAAGGAATCTCCAGAGAGTGAATGTAGGTCAGGTTTGATCGAATTACTATAAACTCTAGTGTTCTTCTTGTGTTATTTATTTTTTCACATTTTATTTCATGCATTTAAATTTTTGTGGTTGAAAGATTCTGTGATAATTATTTCGTTAAGCAACTGCATATTTGAGGATCATTAATTTAAATTTCTAAATTAGTTTTCAAGAATACAATAATTTTTTTTTAAATTACCAATTCACCCCCTCTTGGTTAACCTTGGGACAATTCTATTAGGTTTAACAACATGCACAAACTTTCACTCGGCGGCCATGACCGCGGGCTGCATAGAGGGCTATTTGCATATCGGGAGCAGAGGATTCTCTAGCAGCTTAGGATGCCATATTTGTTTCTTCGTTGATGAGGAGTGAATACAAGTCATCAAGGTTGATAGGCATCAGTTTGGTTTGGATTGCTGTTTTGAACGCCTAGTAGTCCATTCAGGGTATAAAGAAGTATCTCTTCTTGATTGGCGACTGAGCGAGCTGCTGTGAAGTTGTCGACGAGCGTTTTGATGGTTATAAGGTACTGAGTTATGGAGAGGTGTTTCATATACACATTTTGGAGCTCATTTTTTAGCTATATGACATGAGATATGTTTGAAGCTTAAAGACGTTTCTCGATAGTGATCCATCTATCACGATAGGAGACAATATGTAGGATGTAGGGAAGAATAGCTGGAGTGATCATGGAGCAGATTGTGACTACAAGGTTCTGATCGATTAGGAGAAACTGGTTGTAACTTGGATTTGGGATAGTAGCTCTATTTGGTTGAAGTAAAAGACTGGTAAGAGTAGCGATAGTGGGATCAAGGAAGTTGGCAAAGCCATTCGCATGAAACAGCTTCATAATATGTTATTTCCACATTGGGTAGTTGTTGCTAGACAACTGGGTTGGGACAATGGATTTGATGTTAGAGATAACAAACTTGAGAGAAGAAGGGATGTGAGGTGGCTTCGAGAGATGCTTATGTATCACCTTCGGTATTTTGGGAGGTAGAAGAGTTCGCCATTGTAGAGGATCGATGGCGTTGAGGCTAATGCTCTGATACAATGAAGAAACAGATTTCTCTGCTATAGTTAGCAGAGAATAACATAGACAAGTAATAAAGAGTTGGAGCTGAAAAGCATATCTATTATTGTAGCCATAGTATTACATATATAGATGGTAATAGCTAATATATACTTTACAAGTGTACAACTCAGATGTATTGATTTGTTAGGATCTAATGGTTACAAATATTCACTAGTACAATTGTTGGCTATGAGTGTAGTGCTTAGCTGGCTTGTTAGTGATGTTAATCGTTCATATTATTTTGTACTAATCATACAGGACAATCTAATGATTATATGGGATGATCCTTGACAACAAATTGAAATTTAGGGCTTCTTTGGAGGCTTTCTATTTTAAATCCTACATTGTCTTGTAAGACAGTTTTCTTCCGTTTAGTTTGCTTGAGAGGGAGCTTAGAGAGAGTTGAAGAGAGCTTTAGGAGTGAAGAGAGGGAGAGTTCTTGTGAGGGGGAGTTGTGAGAGCTTCACAAGGTTACTCCAAGTAAAGTTTCTTCCAATCTTTTTCAAGTCTCTGCTTTGATTCTTGGGTGACTACGAGGAGACATTCTTTATCACTAGATTGTAGTTCTCTGCCAACTCTAGAAGGGAATAAAATGATTTTTTATCCTCTTCCAACCACAAGAGGGAGTAAAATGATTCTTATTTCTCTGCCATCTCCAGGAGAGAAAAAAGGTTTTTAGGTTCTTTGTCTTCACAAGGAGGGTGAAAAAGATTTAAGGTACTCTACCACACTGGGTTGATGGAAGATATTTTATAAAGACTTCTCTGCTTAGCTGTGGGGGCTATGAGAGACACTAAAATGTTTAGTATAATTCCTACAGTGGAGGCCTCTAATGAGTGTATGCATGTCAGATTTGATCGAACCACTATAAAATCTGGAATGTTCGTTCTTTGTATTTTTTGCATTTTAATTTTTACATTTTTCTATGATTTACTATATGGTTGAAAACTCTGAATTATTTTGTTATTATGAATTTATTTGCTTTCACATCCTTTGTTGAAATCATCTAATTTTAGTGTTTGAAAAAGTACAAAAGATTTTTTTAAAAGAGTTTTTAAAATTAATAATTTACCCCCTCTCTTGCTTAGCCACAAGCTAATTCTTGGAGGTTTAACAGCCTACATGAACTTTCAGTTGTTAGTGATATATGGCCACTTTTAATTTCTGTAGACATTGGGTTGTAACATTAAGTATTACTTGCCACATGGACATTATATTTAATTTAATTGATTTGATTTTTTTAAAAATTTATTATACAATAGAAATGACATATTTTTTAGCTTCTTTGTTACATGTCATATTTTGTTTTAGCATAAAACGATCAGATGCTCGTGAGGGTACGATTAATTTTTTTTCACTTTAATTAAATTAAAACTTTAACCTCACATAAAAATGATAATGTTATGAGAAGTAAGGATTGCCGAGGATTTTTCATGCATATATCTTGAATATTCTCATCCTTGTTAAGCATCTCCCCGTCTGCAAGTTCTGGCAGACTACTTGACCTATTAGGGTGCAGTTCTATTAATTAGATTTTGTGCAAACTCTAGGGAAAAATTTATTTTTAAGACTTTAAAATTGCATCATATTAAATTTATGCATTCATCAAGTCAATTAGCATGCATTGTATTAGAAACAAATAAGAGTCAAATTTTAATTGCATTTTTATTTTAACATCAAATCGCCCTACATGTGTTCAGGGACCAATTAGGATATGCTCTAGATGTCGGTTTTGATTCCTCAAACTTAATTAAGTAACTTATCTACACTCTTTCATAAAAGAAGACTGGACTCATAATTTTTAAGCACCTAGGTGGTTAGCTGGCACCCCAATCCAGGTCGGGGTAAGTTCAAATTTTGCACTATATTAGCTAGGTTCCAGCTACTGTCGTCCAATGCCCAATTTAAATCTAGGATTTGGGGCAAATTCAAAATCTTTAGTCTCCACCTTCTAGAAATCTAATCTCATCATTCTAATAAATTAATAACTTAAATTAAAATCTTCTTCAATCTAAAATTTAAAGCCCAACGCAAAGGATAAGCTAGGGTATTTCTAAAATGTTTCAGAAAATCGACTTTTTCCAAAAAAAAAAAAACTTACAAAATTCAATTTTCAAACTCAACTTATCAACCAAAACAACTGGAGGACTATTTATAGATATTGAAAGTGACATGCTACAAAAATATTGAGAAGATTAAGGTCAAATTCGGAGTGCTGTATCGGACGACCCATATTGATTCTCTCATTTATAGAGAGTTCATTTAGAATTCAAATGCCTTAATGACATCAAAATTATGTAAACTTAGGCTTGTTTAATTCATCTTGTTGAGCCACTCGATTTGACTATAAGCATCCCATATTTAGAGAGCATTTGATTATCCAATTAGTATCTCAAACCTTCCAAATATGCTTTAGGCAATTGATTTGAGCCCAATTGGGCTTAGATTGGATCATTTTTATTGTCGTTGTATTTTGTCTTGTCGAAACATTTATTTGATTATAAGTTTGCTGAGATCGGAGTTCATATAGCCTCAAATTTAATTGTTAAAGTTTTGAAATCAACTATGTCTGAGATTTGTGCATGATCAAGGTGATTTTTGATAACATAATAACTACCTAAATTTTAATTTATTTGAATGAAAATTTCAATTATTTGCAATTTATTGCTAGTTTGTGGTTCATAAGATTTTTTTTATTATCATTTTGATTTAAATATATTCAAACATATTTTTATACCTAAAAAAACCCATAATAATTATTTAAGATTGTAATTTCAAAAAAGCAACCAAAAAGTTATAATTACAAATTATGATTAGTTAATATTTAATTTCAATAGATAAAAAAGTATATTCTTAGTCAAACTATATTTTAAATTTTTTATATAATAAAGTATTTTTTTTAAATAAATCATTTGAAATATTCATATTACATTCAAATAAAGAGGCTGTTTGGTTGTCTGAAAAATGAATTTGGTGTAAAAAGAATGCGACGTAAAATGAATATTTTGGAATTGTTTGGGTGAGTGTAAAATGAATGCATGACATTACTTTTTTTTTTTTGGTTTAATTTTGAAGTGAAGTGAATGCAATATAAATTACATAAAGGTTAAGAAAAATTTTTAAACTAAGCACAATTAGAAAACGTATTAAGCGCCTAACCATGATTTTTAAAAATTTAAAATTAGGCAAAGTCGCTCATTTAATTAGTGATTTACCCCTGACTGAACTACTCAAACATCTGATGTGGTGCTGACATAACATATCTAAATCGTACGTTAAACGGACGATTTTGGCCTTGCTTAGAAAATGCGCTTTCCCTTTAGGTTTTCTCCCTCACCCGAGTGCTGTTTCGTTCGTCTTCCCCATGCCATACATTGATGATCTACTCTTCTCTGTTGGTTGGAGTGTTTAGGTAAGCAAAGTTTTGATTCTTTTTTTTCTATTGACAAGGAGAAGATGTTGGAAGCAATCTTCTATGTTTTTTTTTATGTTATGCATGATAGAAGTATTTTAGGGTTAGGATAATTATGTTAGCAATAATTTAGTTAGAGTTAATTCTGTTTGAAGTGTTTTTTTGGCAATGTTATTGTTTGTTAGTACTCAAGACCATTTATTTGATACCAGCAATTTGTGCTAGTGTAACATTATTTATTTTTAAAATATTTTTTCTAGTAGGGGAATGAAGTTTAAATCAAAAATATTTTGTAGTAGTTGAATGATGTATATTTTGAAATTATATATTGTATTAAGCGGCCAACCTTTATAATGTATTAAGAGAATTATTTTGGCAATTTGAAAACTTATTTTCATAGTAATATTCGATGTTGAAATTTTAAGTTTTGTATACATAATAGAAACATAATTGTGTAAATGAATAATAATGTATATTAAATATATATGATTTATTGATCTTTCGTTTCGAAACGTATGAGTTCACAAATGAGTGGACGAGAAACAACGTTCATGCTAATGTATGGAGGTGAATTACAATTGAATGCGAATTTTGCGCCAACATATTATGGGGGTAGGAATCATCCCATGCAAGTGCCAAGAAATATAAATTTAGAGCAACTTGTGTTAAGGATTCATAGAGCCCTCAAGTGCGATCCTTCGAAGTTTTGTGTCAGCTTAGTTTGTCGAGTGTTTGTGGGAAATATTTTTTTGCTTCACATGTTAAGGATGACAATGCTTGTAAAGTTTTATTATAACAAGCTACTGTTGAATTTCTCATCATGTACATTGATATTGAAGATATATACATGAATCTTCGACCCAAGGTGAAAGGGTTGAAGTGCTTGTTGGTGCTTCAAGGTAAAACCCAGAAGAACAACCTATTGACCATTGAGTTCCTTATATTGCATATCAATATATGTCAAATATATTAATTTATATTGATTAGCAAATCAAGAAGAATATTTTAAATATAGTGATATATAGAACCAACGCACACATGAAGCTCCTGTCCCTTCTACACAATCATTCTCTTTTGATTATTACAGTTATGTGACTATGAGTAGTGGCTCTAGTAAGCAATGTTATGATGATGATGATGATCTTTTACCAGAGTTGAATGATGGAGTTGCAATTGTTAATAAAGATATTCATAATGTCATCCGAGATTACTGCTCTACATCAATTGGCATTAAGGACACAATAGTGACCAATAATAACTATGCCAAAACATGTATGCCTACAAAACAATAGGATCGGGAAGTTGAGTTCGAGGATGTCCCTAATGAGGTGATGTGAAGGACGACTTCTTGATTTCAACTAAATTAATTGAAGGAATATGCTTCACAAGAATGTTTGATTTGTAATTTGCGCTACAAAGATGGTCAATCTTAAATAATGTTCAATATACTGTCACCGCATCAAATAGAAAGAAACTTACAATTACCAGATGCCAGGGGATCTTCATGCATACCTCTGCCCTTATTTTGTACAAAGCACCATTTTAGACACTTGATGTACCTCAGCCTGACTTTGTTGTGGGGGAACAATATATGCTATTTGAAAGGCCTCTCTGACCACCGTAGCATTACACTCTCGGCAGTGATGCGTTGCCCTAGAGACCACGAAGGCGACATTAGCTGAGCTTATGTTTGTACTATATATCATGTTAGCACCTAATGCTGTTAAGTTTTATAGATGCTCGCTTTTGATGATGTTACTCCTGATAATGTTACCACTCTCATTAAGATGTATTTCATTATGCTTATGTTATGCAATTGACATTTTGTTTTTAAATTTTGTTGAGAAAATCTAACTTTAAAGCCAATGCTACATAAAATGAACTTAGTGAAAAAACCATACAAATGGGGATACGAAGCTCAATTGGAGAACTTTTACATATTATCATAAATGAGTATAACAATAATAGATAAAACAAACTTAAAGACTTAACAATCATCATAACAAATACATTCAGTTAAACATTTCATAGTATCATATGGAGGTGAGCTTGGAGTTGTGTCTTAGTTGGACAACATTTAAAGTTGTTCTCAAATTCTAGTTGAATATAATGTCAGTTTGCTATATTTAGAAACTCCTTCTTATCTCTAGATACAACAACTCCCATTAGCTTCTTATAGGACTCTAACAAGAATTGATCATCTGTACGATACCACGTGTGATAAAGAATATAATGATCTATCGACCATTGATCTTTGAATGTTCTCCTCAACACATCCTTCTTTGTCGTGTCCAACTTCACGAATCCGGCCCATGATGAAGTGCAATGGAACCTAATGCCGGCTATCCTACTCGAACCTCTATTGTACATATCACCATCCCACATTTTTAAGATCATCATCTGCCTTTTATAACTTAACTTTCATAACCTCATTAAGCACATGTCACTATATACAATTTTCATCTTCATTCCAGAAATGTGTACAACACCAAAAATATTTATTAGCTTTAGCATTTGCTTCAAGGATTTCATCAGTGAGTAACTCCTAACTTTTTTTCAAACGAATTATACCCTCTTAAATCATCTGCTTAATGGGAGTTGTCCTAATTAAATTCATAACTACGAATGCATTGCAAAGTGTTGTATAAGAAGATGCAAATTTTTTTCAAACTACCTTAAGGCTGGAGGGAGACTTGTACAGTTGTATTATATATTTATACTGAAATAAAAATTCTAGAGTAAAAAAGCTCAAATTAAAAAAAAATTATAAAATTAAAAAAAAAAAAATCATGATCATAAACATAATAGAAATGATGCTGACAAGATAAACTGATGAACCAACACCTTTACAGCTCAATTCACATGTATACAATCATACCAGTCATAGTCATTGCAATATCTAATGCAATCAAATAATGATTTCTTACATTTTTTTTTAAACATTCATGATGACAACTTACCTAAGTTGCAGATTACTTCAGCGACTTATGTTAAACCTTATTTTTTTTTAGTTGGTAACGACTAGCTAACTCATATGTGCCTAGTCAACATAAGTTGCCATTTAAAAGGGCGCATTTGCCTAGTTTTAAATTTTTCCTAAAACATGCTTGAACACTTAATATGAGTATTAATTGCGCTTAGTTTACAAATTTTCCCTAAAGGTTATGGCCAAGGGGGTGGCGGCAACATGTGGCGGCGACGATGGATGACAGATGGTGGTGGTGGTCGAAGATGGTAGCCGACGGTGGAAGGCGGAGTCTGGCGATGGTGGCTTGGCATGTGGTTGTAATGACTATGTTCATACCGTATTTGAAATTGTTTAAATATGAAAAATTCTAAATATACCTACTAGATGATGTAATGTGAATACACTCATATACTTTACATTTTTTTTAATAAAACATCAATATTTCTAAATTTTTTATCTTTAAATTATTTTATACCCTTAATGCAACAAATCAAACAGCCCAAATAAATTAGGATTCCCATTTTTATTGGTAATAATTATAAGCTCTTCTCATCTTTTGAAAATCTCCATGCTCAAGCTAGGGTTTTTGTCGCTCCGGCCAGCAGTTAGAGGAGGCGCGAAAGGCCCAACCATCACACATTTTTCTTCCTCGATCCCTTCTTGTGCGGGTCATCTTCGTGTGCCCATAGTCGACGCTAATGGCCCTTGCAAATCTATTCGTTTGCCTCCTATTCGCTCTCTCGGCGTCCCTATCCACCGCGAACTCCATCCATGGTTGTGGGGGATTCGTCGAGGTGATCCTGCAAGATCCTGCACCTTCTTCATTCTTTCATATAAGTCGGGGACGATATGATTTGTTTCTTGCCGCGTTGACGCCACTTTCTGGATTTATTAGTTTAATTAGACAACTAATTTGTTAAATATTTTTGCTTTTTTAGGTAAGCTCAGTTCTGATCAAGTCAAGGAAACCCTCCGATCGGAAACTGGACTACTCGCATGTCACCGTATGATTATTTACTTCAAAAATTTGTTATCCTATTTTGTTGTTTGTTTTGAATAAGTGGAAGCGACTGCACTCGTGGTGCCAATGCACTGTTTTGCATCTTTTAAAACACGACGAGTTCATGAGACCTATTCTGAGGAAGATACTTGAGAATTAACTGTATTTTGAAAATTGTTAGAACTGTACTTGTATACAGTTTCTTCAGCAATCAACTTCATATGGTTGGAATGCAACCTTTAATCCATACTTGATAAACTTTCTAATATCATTCATTAGTTATCAATAAAATTTGATGATGGCAAGTTCCCAACATTGCATGCAATGTTATTCTAATCATTAAGCTGCAATAAATATTTTTCAAAAGTACTTGCCAAGTTCTGTCTAGCATCTCTTTCACCGATTTGATTAAAAGAGTAGAATTTAATAAAAAAGGAACACCGAAACTAATTATAATCTGCTTTCTGCACGTTTGTGTGATGACAACGATAACATAAAATTTTGATACGTAGCAGCACGATTTTCTTTTATCACACATCTTCTCAGGCTTGCTATTTTACATTAAAAATTGTTAAATGTGCAAACAGTTACCATTTTTTTTTTCTTTTTCAGGTTGAGCTTCAAACAATTGACGGGCTGGTGAAGGATAAGACATCATGTACCCCCAATGGTTACTATTTTATTCCAGTTTATGACAAGGTTCTCCTTTTGCCCACTTTTTGCACCTCTTTAAGAATTAATAAAAATTCCAGTAGGATATTCCTTTGGACCTGTCACATCATCTTCTTAAGATTTTAACTGAACATGATGCTGCAATTTCTGGCCCTTGAATATATTGAAAGGTCATCGATGAAGTTTTTTCCTTTTGACTTTTCTCATTGTGTCATTAGGGGCGTTAACATCTATTTGGCAATTAACAACTGTTGATGCATTATTTAAAAGACAATTTTTGTATATCATTTCTTTCTTAGCATAATGCTTTGGAATATTGGAGAGACAGAGAGGGAGAGGTGTTTTAGATTCCTTGCTTAACTTCCAACTCTAGCAAGCACAAGTGCTTCAAAATTGTTGAATAACTCCCATGCCTAGAATAAGCAAGAAATTTTGATAACTTGAATATCTTTTTTTGAAGCAATTTTACCCATACTTTTTTTTTTCATAATACTTGCAGCACTTGTATCATGTATATCTTTCATTGGTTGTACTAGTATACAGTTCATTTTGACCCATTTTAGGGCATGCTAATATCTTGTACTTGAAACACATATTGCAATTACAGGCTAATGCTATAAGATTTTTTCAACATTCATTTTACATGTAATTTCTTTTAACAGGGATAGTGTCATAACTTGAATGTCTATTTCCATCGACTTCTAGAATAGAAGAACCTAAATTTATTGGATATCTATATCCTCGTATGTTTTTGGATCCAAGATAAACAAAATAATTTGTGTACCTTGAAGCCAATTGAAAGTAACTGATCATATTTATTACCACCTTTTTTTTGTGCTTCACAATGCTCTGTTACTCAGTTCTAAATGTATGCATGCAGGTATAGAGATGGTTAAATCGTGTTTATTTTTTCTTGTTTTTGCTATATCTGCTAATTTATTGTGATATGGGCCATTGCTACCACATAATTTATCTTCCGAAAAAGAAAATACATATTATTGGCTGGTTTGAGGCCTCTTTCCAATCAACAGCTTTGTTAGAAAGTTCCCAAGGTCTAATGGGCCCATTTTGTATCTAGTTGCGTAAAAGTGTTTTACTTGCTATTCTTTGATTCTCTTCCTGCCATTTTGGTTGTTTGGTTTTTTTGCTTTATTTGTATTATTTTTTATATTTGTTTTTTGCACAGGGTTCTTTTATTGTTAAAGTCAAGGGTCCTGAAGGATGGTCATGGGAGCCTGATAAAGTAAGTTGTTGAAAACATTTTAGGCATATATCATCCTCATTGCAACTTCTTTGTATAAAAAATGTTGTATGCATTTTATACAATCATAATGAGGCATTTTTAATTAAATTAATTTTGACATTTTAAATATATTCGTCACAGCTTCCGAGTGTTATGAAATAAATTTATATAAATATCCCAAACTTGATCCTCTAACAGTTGTACAATTTTAGAAATATTAAAAGAGAGATTTATGGTTTTGGCAGTCTATTTGATTCCTCAAGCTTCCTATTTGTTATCACAGTGGGAATCCAATCCTTCTAGCTCTCATAGGCCTCCATTAATCAACTCCCACTGCAAGAAACAGTAAGAAGAGGCCTGGGGAGGTCTCAATATTCTTCTTTAAAGGTTGTTGAAGGAGCCTTGACTGCTGACAATTGCTAGAGAAGGAAAATGAGGTCACAATGACCTTCCTAGAGGGTACCAGAGACTTGACAGGGTGTAGAAGACCTATTGAAGACTGTTTTAGAAGAAACCCGTGGAAGGATAATAAAGAGAATGATCAAATAGAGACTTTAGGATTGGTTCTTGGTGGAAGAAACTTGATTTTTCTTGCTTCAATGTGCTTTTAAATAGAGTTACCTAAGTCTTAAATTAGAGGGAACTTACTAAAATCAAATAACTTTATTGGGCTCCGTATTTTGAGTGAAATAGGGTAAACATTCATTCTTGTTTTTCCATGCTTTTCCCATGGTGCTGCATGCTAAAATCCATGCTCAAATACCAAACTTGGTCTCAATGAGTTTATGGTTTTATGACTACCTTTTTAGAGATTTAGTGCTTTCAAGCCTTAATCGATTTCCCTCAAGCTTAGTTCTTGTCTTCTCAGAAGGAATAAAATCATTGTGGCTCTCATAAGTTTTTTGTTAATCAACTCCTGTCATCATTGGGGGAAGCTAGACGGGTCATATTGACCTTCCCAGGGGACATCAAAGACATACTGGGGTGGTGGAGGGGTTCGGGTTGAAAATCATGGAAGGAGAGAAAGGATCTTTTGGAGTGTTTAGGATTGATTTTTTGAGGAAGAAACTTGGTTTATTCCTTGTCTTAATAGAGGTTTTAAATTGATTTGGAATGTTTTTAAATTGGGAAACCAACCAAAACAAATAAATAACAAAAGTAAAATTTACGGAAACAAATTCTGTAAGTTCCTTATTTTCAAGGATTCTATAAACCTATACATAAGGAAACATAAAATAGACTCCACATTCAAGAAATTTCAAATCCTAGCAAATTTAAAACCAGAATCTTCTAAGGAGGCCTAATCGGCCTCTTTCGTTCGGTTGGTCTGGGAGATCATCCTGACCAAATTTACTTAATTTATATAATTAAGCATTTAGAATTAATAATGTAAAGTGTCTAAGTTAGATTTTACATGGTTATTGATTTATGTAATATGAAAATTTTCTTGCATGCGCAAGTAATAACAAAGATGATAAGGGACATGATAATAAATGCATAACATAATAGTTTTGAATTACTAATCCCTTGCTAACCCAAAAAAAATTTAGAAAATAGTCATGGAAATAATTCAAGGAAGCAAGTGCTTGCAGAAGATTAAAAATAGTATGGATCTATTGCGAAAGAAGAACAAGACAAGAAAAGCATCACAAAAAATTGCAAAAGTTACATTATGAAGAAAGAAGTTGAAACAAAATAATTCAAATGGTAGAAGCTCTACCCTGCCAACATTTATTGAAGTTCATATATTCATTAAATAAAGCAAAAATAAAAAGGGAAATGATTATATGAAGTTTTCACCTTGCCTAGCCTTACTTTCTGAGGTATTAAGGTGCACCATTTTCAGTAAGTATGAGATGGATTCAATCTATTAAAAAATGGTATGGATTCTCATCTGTTTTTTATTGACCTGCGTTGCTTTTAAAGGAAAATCATTTTTTATTCTTTTATTAATAATACTATGTTGACGAAACTTCTATAGGTTCCTGTGATTGTAGATAAAAGTGGCTGTAATTCAAATGCAGATATCAATTTCCAATTAACTGGGTACGTGGTTTCAAGCATTTTAATTATGTCATATTTATTGTTATTCCTTCGGAGACTTTGAAAACCTTTTAGGTTTACTTCCGATTGTGTTTCTGGTGTTACTTGTTAAATAGAGCCGATGACACTATTGAATTTATGTGTCTTCCTCACTTTCGGGAATCCTTTGTCTGTAGGTTTATGGTATCAGGTAGAGTTTCAGGTTCTGTTGGTGGAGGCAGCTGTCCCAGTAAAGCTGGAGGACCTTCAAATGTGAAGGTTGAGCTTGTGTCTATGCCAGACGATGCCATTGTATCTTCTTTCACATCAGAAACTGGGGACTACTCATTTACGAACATCATCCCTGGTCTGTCATTCACCCTGTAAAGTTCATGTTTTTCCTCTTCTTTCATAGAATTGCCAATTAAAATTAAGGGTAAACTGCATTCAAGGTTCTCATATTTTATATAAGGCGCTGATAGGTCAATTTCTTTGTAAAAACCAACCAACGAAGTTTTATGTATATTACATTTAGCACCAGAATGCTTCCCTTTAGAATTCTGTAACTGCTCATCTAAGATTTCATTTATCATTCCTAATGCATCCAACTATCCTCCATGATTCTATGAAAAAATGCATTTGGTCTTTCCTCACTTCTTTGTCTTCCCGTATTCCAACTGGGCCATGTATTAGAATGTGTGGTAGTGGTTGCTGACCTGCTGACCAACCATTCATCATCATCATCTTCTTCTGCCCCCCTACCCCAATGTGTTGATTGAGGGGTTATAGCTGAATACCCCGCCTCTCTCTGAACACTGCTATCCTTTCTTGTCCTCTCTCTAGAAGGTAAGCTAAGGGAATTTATGTAAAAAGAAAAAAGAACAGTAGTTACTAATGCTTCTAATAGAACAATGGCGGTCTCTAGTTATAAATAACATGAGAGACTTGATTGATTGATGTTAAATTGTTGAGAATTATCCACGCCTAATGAGGCATATGAGGGATCAATATTCAATTAACCATTACATTTTTTACACATTGCCATCTGTATAATGTACATCTGATTTAGCTTGCTCAAATTGTTTGCAGTTTTATGGAACTCCATTTACAAGGTCCCTCTTTTATTTATAAAGTTTCAAAGTGGAGGTCAATGGTTATTTGATGGAGATTTGTAAGTTTAGACTTGATGGAAACGTCAAGAAAATAAATGATATAAGTTTTGTTAGTTTCAGCATTTTTCAGCACACAATAGGCCTACAGATTTCAACAAACTTTCTTCAGCAAACAACTATACCTCTTACCTGATTTCAGCAAATTCCTAACTTGATTTCAGCAAATTCCTAACTTGATTTCAGCAATTTCCTCAAACAATAATATTTCTTAACTGTTTTCACCACTTTCCTAACCTGATTTCAGCAATTGCGTAAAATCTGAATTCTCCCAGAAGCTTACGGCAGCTCCAACCCTTCAGCCTTTTCTCCCATCTAGTCCCTAGCTCCCTTGTTCTCTATATCGGGTAGGGAGGAATTAGAATGGGAAATGGGAAATGGGAAATGGGAATGAGAAGTGCTTAATATATTATGATTAAATATCCACTAACCCTCCACTATGCCCTTTTAGAGCTTACCGACCACTTGATCCCATCCGGCCAATGCATGTCATGATTAGTGGGACTGGTAGTGGAGGCTACAGTTATATTTAATGAACTATAGTTATTTAGATGTTATTCATTAAGTATTTAGCTGTGATTCATTAACTATAATATTAAACAATTATTTAAAAGATACCTATACATCTAATGATATATATATATATATATATATCAAAATTACTCGAAATTAAATATCTAATTTGATGAAAATATATTTGATGTTTTCCATATGTGTGAAAACACAGGGAAAATTGTATGCCTACCTTTTTGACCAAATTTTGGGTATTATATTAGTGTTGTATTGTTGTTCTGCGGAAAGAAATACAAAGCACAACATTTCCAAAAACAGGTCTTTAAATGTCAAGGGGCGTAATATGTAATTCCAATGTAGGCATTTAAGACCCTGATACTCCATTTTGATTTTTTATCTGCACCATGCTTAAGAATTGTCTGCTTTGTGAGCTAGCATGTTATGTTAGGTGGGGATTGGTGTTTTGGGAGGGCCAGGATGTGACCAGTCCGTGTATTTGGTTCTTTATGTTTTTAAGTTCTACATTCTTTTCCTTGTTCAGCACTCATTTCCCAGTTGAGAATGCGGCAATGGCGCTCCCTGAATATGAATCAGACTGCTGTTACTTTTTTTTTTAAAATTATTTAAATGCAATTTTGCTAGTCATGCATTGAGGCGTATAAATTATATCAATTGATCTTCTCATTCGAAGAATTCTTTAGAATATTATTGAGCTGTGAATTACTTATTTTGAAATACATACATCTTTTCTTTACTGCTTGCAATTTTTGCTGCAGGATTTTACAAATTAAGAGCTTCACATCCTAATTTGGGAGTTGAACTTAGAGGATCATCTGAGGCAATACACGTTTCATTTGTTTTCTATGTGCAAAGTATGCCTCGATGAATACTGATATGATTTACTTTCACTCTATAGATCAATCTGGGCTTTGAAAATGCAGTGGTGGATGATATCTTCTTTGTATCTGGTTATGATCTTCATGGTTTTGTAGTTTCCCAGGTACTGCAAATGGTCAAATACAGAAATATGCTGTGTTTTTAATAAAGATCCTAAGTTATACATTCATCCATGTATGCAAGTTTTTGCACGTTCATGGATGCTATAATTGCATATTTGTATGATGATAATCGTTTTGTATGTCTCTTTGTATTAGGAGTTGCATTAGCTTTGCCTATGTTGATAAATTCATTTTTTTAAATATTTTTTTATTTCTCGACGAAGTGTACATTATAACCATCTTTATGAGATGTTTGAAAAGTTCTCGATTTTTTCATAGTTCATTAGGTAGGAGTGTTTCGGGAAAAAAAAAAAAATACTAGTTGAAGTAGGGGTTTTAGCAAATTTGGGGCTTTGCTATTTTGTTTATGTTTCTTTTAGCGACAATTGATTTAGTGCGCAACATGTGCTGGTTATACAAGAAAGCAACCCAGAAAACTGTGCTTGTGTTGGTCAGAGTTTACCTAGAAAGAATGGTTGTCCCTCTGTATAACATGATCAAATTTCTTGAAACAATTTTCAGTTATGAAAGCAATTTTATGGGAAATAATGTGTTCAGTAGCAAGATTTAGAGTGCATTTAAAGTGATCCCGTTAGTAGTATGGTTTTTGGTATAGCTATGGTGATCTCATTATCAAAATCAGTTTGCGCTTGATGAATTATCCTTTTTTTTATGAATTGTCCTTTTGTTGCAGGGGAATCCTATTTTAGGAGTTCATATATATTTGTATTCAGGTGATGTGTTAGAAGTGCATTGCCCCCAAGGAGTTGGAAATCCTCCCAGTGAGAACAAGGCACTTTGTCATTCCATATCAAATGCTGATGGAAAGTTTACTTTTAAATCATTACCATGTGGTAATTTCTTTGCCCTCCTGTTACTTTTCCACTGCGCAGAAAATTCATCTCATTCCTTGTAAATGAACTCAATATCTGTCATTAATAGATTTCTACAATTTTATCTCTTTAACTTATGAGTCAATTATTTTTTATGTCAATACTACATCGGGATTTCATATTCATATTATGCACTTTGACACCATAGACTTTGGCTGTATTTGGCAATGTTCTGCTGTGTATTTCTTTGCACAGACCAAAAATACTGCAGAAAATGCGAAATGCAAATCCATGCCCCATCGCATCATCATGTCTAAAAATAGCACACTCATGGATCAAATCATCCAATCCATTTCTGCACAATGACCTTATTTTTCACAACCATGCAAACAAAGTCTTATGAAGGTATCAGCACATCTAGCAATTTAATATGATTAACAAAATGTTGAAATCGAGTAAAATTTGCAAACGTGGCCAAAAACTGTGATGCCAAGGCAGTGGATTGTCGACATAATATTTGTAGTATCTCAAGCCATTTGTACATTGTAGTTAGATATTGGTTAACTGTTTAGATCAGCCATATAGCTCTCTGCAAATGGTTGGTATGTTCTTTGTACCACTAATTTTCTTTTCCAATTAATGTATTTCTGATTTATCTTTATTAAAATCTTAGTATAGATTTCGTACATGCTTCAGATTAAGTGGTTGTCAATAAATCGGTTTGGATTGTCATGCTGATTGCAATAAAGAACTTAAAAACTATCCCCCTTCCTCCCAAAATCCAAAAAAGTTTTTTTTTTTCGGCTAGAATAAACAATGTCTTATATGCTCTTATTGCATAGCTAAATTTGGTTTTTTATAATTAAGAGGATAGTTTATTTTGCTTAACATGCTCGTGCAATTTAAATAATTTCTTTTCTTCATTACTTTGCGGTAACCAGAAGTAGGTTCGTGTTTGAAATGTAGTTTTAATCTCTCAAAAAAGTAATTCTTTTGAACACTTAGCAAATAATTAACAGAGAATATTTTTTTTTTCTTTTAAAAAATGTATTTCTTCAAATCTAGAATTAATCTTATTTCTTGTATGCTTCAGGTGTTTATGATCTTCTCCCTTACTACAAGGGGGAGAATACTGTTTTTGATGTTTCACCACCTTCCATGACTGTAACTGTGGAACATCATCATGTTACAGTTTCCCAAAAATTCCAGGTATGACGATTCATTGGCTACTTATGTTTAGAACTTAGAACTGAAACTTCATTTACTTAGTGTATTTTTATTTATTTTAGTTAATATGAAACCTCTTGTCCTGATATTATTAAACAACAGGGTATCTTATTTTCTTGCTGAATATTTATTTGAAGATGTGTTTTGACTAGAAGGTCCTTTAATTTTTTAACGAAGACGCCCTTCAACTATTTCTTTTAAGCAGTTTGGACCAGTTCTGTTGTCCAATGTTTACCATGCTTATTGCATGCAATCTTACTTGCATCATTAGGTGGTTGCAGGAACAGGTTAAGGTTGAAACTTTGGCATGTTTAATGACTTTTATTTTGATGGATAATTTACGTTGAATGCATAAGCTGCTGAGATCAGGTTTAATTTCCAACAAGCTGAAACCAAGAACCACCTCCCTAGTTGATTCTGTCTTAGGGGAGTTACATGCACTGGTTCTCGATGAATAAATATAGGAAACATATTTTTGTTTTTGTGGATACATGTACTTAATGTTCTCCCACACTCCATTGGTGATTGAAGTGTGACCACAACAACAACAACAATGTCAAGCCTTTGTCCCACTACGTGGGGTCGGCTACATGAATCCTTTTTCACCATTATGTCCGGTTAAAAGTCAAATTCTCATCTAAATCTAATAAAGAAAGATCATTTCTAATATTTTCTAACCAAGTCTTTTTAGGTCTACCTCTACCTTTCTTAACATAAGCCAAATCTAATACTCAACTTTCCTAACCGGGTCATCAAGAAGGCCTCCGTTTAATGTGACCAAACCATCTAAGGCGACTCTCTCTAATCTTATCTTCCACTGGAGCTACTCCAACCTTTTCACGTATATACTCATTTTCGTATCCTATCTCTAAGGGTCAAGCCACTCATTCCACGTAAGCATCCTCATCTCTGCAACACTTAACTTAGTATTATGCTTCTCATTTGATGGCTAACATTCGGCACCATAAAGCATTGCAGGTCTCACCACCATCTTATAAATTTTTCCTTAAGTTTGAGGGGGACTATTTATATCGCACAATAAGCCCGATGCATTCCTCACTTCAACATCCTAACTTGAATTCTGCTGATAATAATCCCAATCAATTTCACCATCACTCTGAACAATAGATCCAAGATATCTAAAACGTGTACTCTTATTAATGACTTGATCGCCAAAGTCACAATCCCCATCACTAGGTCTATTTCCACTAAATTACACTCCATATATTCGTTTTAGATCTACTCAGCGAAAACTTAGACTCTAAAGTTGACCTCCATAATTCAAGTTTACCTTCAACTCCCTCTTTAGTCTTATTAACAGAAGAATATCATCAGCAAAAAGCATGCACTAAGGTAATCCTCTTGCAAATGTCTAGTGAGAAACATCCATGACTAAAGCAAAAAGATATGGACTTAAGGCTGATCCTTGATGTAATCCAACGAAATAGGAAAATACTTGGTCAAACATCTTGTGTACTTCCCGGCATGAATCCAAATTGATTTTGAGAAACTTAGTATCAGCTAAAAATCTCCATAACTCGTCCATAGTTTTAAAGTATGAACACATTAACTTATTTCCTCTATAATTCGTACACTCCTGTGCGTCACCTTTATTCTTAAAAATACGGAATTAACACACTCATTCTCCACTGATCTGACATCTTTTTAGTCTTCAAAATAGTATTAAAAGTTTAGTAAGCCAAGAAATTACTTCATCTCAAAGCATTTCCACATCTCTATTGGAATATCATCAGGTCCTACAGCTTTTCCACTCTTCATTTTCTTTAAGCCCTCTAACTTCGGTTTTACTTATACACCGATAAAATAAATCTTTATTTTCATTTAGGGTGATAAAGTCATTAAAGTCAATCATATTTTTACATTCATCTTTAAAGTTTAGCAAAATACCTCTCTCCCCCTTTGTTGATATCATCTTCTTTAAGAAAAGTACTTTTTGATCTTCATCCTTAATGCACTTCACTTGAACTAAATCCTTACTACTCTTATGTCTTTGTTTGGCTAACTTATACATATATCTTTCTCCCTCCTTAGTATCTAATCTATTATATAAATCATTAAAAGCTAAACTCTTTGCATCGCAAATAACTTTCTTAGATTCCTTACGAGGCTCTTTATAACTTTCCCAATTATTAGAATTTTTACATCTAAACCAATTTTTATAACAAATCTTCTTATTTTTTATATTTTCTTGCACATTTTGATTCCGCCACCAACTATTTTTACTATTAGGAGCTTTTTCCTTTGAAACTTCAAGCACATCTTTTGTAATATTATTAATATCATAAGCCACTTTTTTCAATAATATTGACATCCTCATGCATAGATAGAATCTTAAGATCTAAAATCTTACTATCAAAAATACTTTTATTAATATTCCTTAAATGTCCCCATCTAATTCTAGAAAATCGTTTTACTTTATTTTTTTATTTTTTGCCCCTTTATCTTAAAGTCCAAAACTAATAATCGATATTGGGTGCATAAATTTTCACTCGGAATAACTTTACAATCTTTGCAATCTAAATGATCTAATTTTTTTATAAGAAAATAATCAATCCGCGTTTTATTATATCCATTTTTATAAGTGATAAGATGCTTATCTTTTTTCTTAAATAATGTATTAGCTATTAAGAAATTATAAGCTGAAGAAAAATCTAATATAATCTTACCACCTTCATTTATCGTTTCAAACCCATGGCCATCATGGATGCTTTTAAAATCATCTATCTCTCTACCAATATGTCCATTTAAATCTCCTCCAATAAAAACTTTTTCTTCAAGAGGCATATTTTGTATTAATTCTTCTAAGTCATTCCAAAATTTTAATTTTGAACTCATATCTAAACTTACTTGAGGAGCATAAGCACTTATAATATTAACAATCTTAGCATCAACAACAATTTTTAAAGTTATAATTCTTTCTCCAATTCTGTTAATTTTTATAACATTATCCTTCAAATTCTTATCTATAATTACACCTACTTCATTTCTAGTACGACTCCTACCCAAATACCATAATTTATATCCTAAACTATTAATCTCCTTAGCATTCTCTCCTACCCATTTAGTTTCCTGAATGCATAGAATATTTATCTTCCTATGAATCATAATATATATTAATTTCATTAATTTTCCTGTAAGGGAGCCTATATTCTAAGTTCCTATCTTAATTTTTGTTTCTTGGACTAGCTTCTTTGCCCACATCCGTCTTTGATGTGGGAACCCTTGCCTATTTAACACTGCACCCGGGCGCCGGTGCAGCGGCCCTTGCACACTTGTTTCTGTATTTAGGCAATACAACACGTCGCTTACAGGGGATGCCCTAGCATTAACACAATTTTTTAAAGGATTCATGTCAAAATTATTCGACAAGTTTTACGCTGGCTATCGATTACCTAATGCAACCCTCCATTTTTCTCATCCAGGACTTGGGACCTGGCAACGACAGTGTTTGAAGTGTGACCAATATATCCAAATTATTTTGGGTTTGTTCATGGAACCTATTTATTCATTTGTTCCCGTTGAGCATTACATGAGGTATGTGTTCAACTTTGTGCGAATGTTTTACATGAATTCTAGTTATCTTCATGGACCCTTCTCTGTTCTAGTTTGTTCAAATTAATTTTATCTTTTATTTTAAAGGAATTGAACCCTGGATCTTCCTGATGAAAGTAAGGTGCAATGCCGTTGAGTTAGTTAGCCTTTTTAAGTATATGGAGGTCTTGTAGTGCCTTAGTATCATCAGTCTTTATGGAAGCATTTTTAATAGCAAAATCCTCTCTGGTGTTTATTTCTAGGCATCATAATCTCAATTTTTTTTGTATTTAGATGATTTGTGTATTAGTTTAGGTTTTATTTCTTGTATTTGAGAATGTGGCGATCATTTTTTTAACAAAGATTTAAAGGCTAGTTTTTAGTACTCCAAGACGTGGAACTAAGGTTTAGGGCTTATGACCTTTGAAGTGAAGCTTCAATACCTAATATGTTCTGAAAATAGTGAACGTTCCATAACTCCTTACTCTAATTTTGATAAATTCGATTATGGAGGCTTGTACCCTTGCACTCTAATCCTAATTTGATTTTTCGAGTTAGGATTTAAGATCATCAATGGAAAACATCGGGTTTTCTTACATGGTTTCTAATTAAGGAGGGTGATTATACATACATACATACAACAACAATAACGTCAAGCCTTTGTTCCACTACGTGAGGTCGGCTACATGAATCCTTTTTCTTCATTGTCCTGTTAAACATCAAATTCTCGTTTAAATCTAATAAAGCAAGATCATTTCTAATATTTCCTAACCATGTCTTTTTAGGTCTACATCTACCTTTCTTAATATAAGTCAAATATAATATCTCTACTTTCCTAACTGGGTCTTCAGAAAGCCGATGTTTTGTGTGACCAAACCATCTAAGGCGACTCTCTCTTATCTTATCTTCCACTAGAGTTACTCCAACCTTTTCACGTTTATGCTCATTTTGTATCCTGTCTCTAAGGGTAAATTCACTCGTCTACCTAAGCATCCTCATCTATGCCACACTTAACTTAGTATTATGCTTCTCTTTTAATGACCAACATTCTGCATCATAAAGCATTGCAGGTCTCACCACCATCTTATAGAATTTTTCATTAAGTTTGAGGGGGGCTTTTCTATCACACAACAAGCCCGATGCATTCCTCCACTTCAGAGTGCCGGTGCAGCGTCCCTTGCGCACTTCTCGCTGTATTTAGGTCACTTTCAAGGAACACCCTAGCATTAGTACAATGTATTTAAGGATTCATGTCATGATTATTCTGCAAATTTTATGCTGACTGTCAGCTACCTAACACAATGCTTCACTTTTCTCATCCAGGACTTGAGACCTAGTATCGACAATATTAAAATGTATACACAATCACAAATGACATATGATGATGACTTTAGTAAAAAAAAGTTGTAACTAACTGGCACAAGGCCCAT